CCATTCCATTCCGTTCTCCATTCCATTCCACTTTCCATTCCATTCCGTTCTCCATTCCATTCCATTCTCTATTCCATTCCATTCTCCATTCCGTTTTCCATTCCATTCCATTCTCCATTCCATTCTCCATTCCGTTCTCCATTCCATTCCATTCCATTCCGTTCTCCCTTCCATTCCGTTTTCCATTCCATTCCATTCCATTCTCCATTCCATTCTCCATTCCGTTCTCCATTCCATTCCATTCCATTCCATTCCACTGACGGAGTCTTGCTCTGTCGCCCAAAGTGCCGGGATTACAGGTGTGAGCCTCTGGGCCCAGCCTATGTGTTACATTTAGTATTTTATTTTATTTTATTATTTCATTTCATTTATTTATTTTTTTATATTTTGTAATTTTTGGCCAGGTGCGGTGGCTCACGCCTGTAATCCCAGCACTTTGGGAGGCCGAGACGGGTGGATCATGAGGTCAGGAGATCGAGACCATCCTGGCTAACTTTCCACTAAAACTACAAAAAATTAGCCGGGTGTGGTGGCGGGCGCCTGTAGTTCCAGCTACTCGGGAGGCTGAGGCAGGAGAATGGCGGGAACCCGGGAGGCGGAGCTTGCAGTGAGCCGAGATCACGCCACTGGCTGGTCTCGAACTCCTAACCTCGTGATCCACCCGCCTCAGCCTCCCAAAGGCCTGGGATTACAGGTGCGAGGCACCGTGCCTGGCCATATATTTATTATTTATGCTCAAATACTGATTATTTCATATGCAGTTTTTCTGTAAGTCTATATCTGCTCAAAAACATTAGGTCTATGAATTTCTTTTATATTACCAAGTAGTTTTGAGCCAATGTGTTTTTTTTTTTTTTAAGAAAATAAATACAGCACAGACTTCTTTCTTTCACTGATGAGGGAGCAGGCATAGCTGTAGCCAGAGGCGGAGTCCTAGCTAGTCTGGTACTGCACCCCCCCCAGTTCGTTGGCCTGGCATAGGCTGTCTGTGGCTACCCCTGGGTGCATCCGGAAGCAGTCTGAGAGGACAGTGGGTCTTGTTTGTCCACAGGCCTCACGAAGCCCCCTCCCACCAAGGTCTTGCCACAAGGGCTTGTACACCATAAGAAACCTTTTGGGCCGGGCGCGGTGGCTCACGCCTGTAATCCCAGCACTTTGGGAGGCCGAGGCAGGCAGATCATGAGGTCAAGAGATCAAGACCATCCTGGCCAACTTTCCACTAAAACTACAAAAAATTAGCCGGGTGTGGTGGCGGGCGCCTGTAGTTCCAGCTACTCGGGAGGCTGAGGCAAGAGAATGGCACGAACCCGGGAGGCAGAGCTTGCAGTGAGCCAAAATCACGCCACTGCACTCCAGCCTGGGCGACAGAGCAAGACTCCATCTCATAAATAAATAAATCAACCAACCAACCTTTTGGTCAGGTGCTATGTACCCCTACTGCTTTTGCCCCCACTGCTGCCCCAAGGCCTTCCCAGAGCCCCCACTGTTTTGCTGGTTTTCCTGGAGAAAGAAATTTGAGTTTGGAAGGAGGAGGCTGTCAGGGAAGCCTCCAGACACTCAAAAAGTTTGTTTGCTTTTGTCTTGCAGAGAATGCAGCCTGTAAGGACAGAACAGGTGAGTGTTCCCTACCCCCAGATGCTGTACTTGACATTGCAAAGGGTGAGTTTTATTATTAATATTGTTAATAATACTATTTTTATATTAATTTTTATTATAATATACTATTTATTACAATATATAATTATATATATTACATATGATGTATTAGATAACACACAACATATAATATATAACAATATATGCTATATATTACATATGTTATATATATGTGATATGCTGTATATTATATATTGTAATATATATTATATATTTGATATATAATCATGTTATTTATATTATATATGTGATATGATATTTATGATATATAATTCGATCATAATATGCTATGTAATTTACATATTATTACTAATTATATATTTTATATATTATATATTTTGTTTTATTTATAATGTGGATAAGTGAATATTTCTGGTCTATCTTGATTATTAGAATTATCTAGCTGATTATGATATTTTTTTCTATATTATAGACCTCTGTTGGAGATGCGGTCTTGCTGTCACGATATATATAGGATCAGTTTATATATTACATTATTTATTATATATAATTATAATTTATATATTTATGTTATATGATTATATATAAATTTATGTAATATGTTATATAATTAGTAGGATACAATATTTTAATGTGTATATTATTATGTGCTATATGCTATATTGAGTGGCGTCAGTAATAATTTCAGTTAATTTATCTGACTGATGGCAGACTGTGGTCATCACCGTAATATATATTCCAATACTATTTGTATATAAGTAAGAGGCTGGTGGATGGATTTGAGCTTTCACTAATGGGTATATAGTGAGTTTAAGGAAGTGGACTCAGCTCTTATGATGCTAATTATAATACCATTCGGGTAAATAACTCTATAACTGTTATATTTTATTACTGTTTAAATACTAAAAGTTAGCTATAGTAGGATAACGGCTATATAAATATATAATATTAATTTTAAATTATATATATTATATCACGTTCAGATGGCTTTCATTTGACAGCCTCTGGTGTTCACCCTTACTTGCGAATCTTGCAAAATTGGGATATAGCCCATCCCCAAATTGAGGACGGACAAGGGCGAGTCCAGGGATGACCCTCCGAGGGTGAGAACAGACGCTGTGTGCAGGCAGGCGCAGTCCAAACGAGTGTCCCCCCATTTGCCCACAGCTTAACCGGGCCAGGCAGCCCAGTGCAGCAGGAACGTGCTACCAAACCATAGCTCTACCCAGCAGAGACAAGCATTGACAGACAGGTGGCCCAGGCCTCAGACGAGCACCTCACACAGAGGACCCTCCGCCAGCCCCTGCCTGGGATCTGGAGGAACAAACAGCCGGACACGGCATTGTCATGTCCCCTCTCTCTCTGTCCATCTGTTTCCCTGTATCTCTCTCTCTGTCCATGTCTCTGGATCTCTCTCCCTTTCTCCCTCTCTTTGTCTCTCTCTCATCTCTGTCTCCTTCCCCGTCTCTGTATCTCTCTCCTTTTCTCCCCTC